AGTCTGAAAGCAGCCTTGTTACTTCCATTTCCTCCCCTCGGTTTTTTCTCCCTTGCACGCAGAAGGTTTCTGGCACTGGTTTCACAACACTGCTCAGATGTTCTATGAATCACCACCGGTGTGTGGGCTACAGGCTGAAAAACACCACTCCAGAAAACTCTGGCTACTCTGAACCGAAGCCTGCTGAAGGCACTGAAATGCCCTCTCCTACTGCAGTGGGCTCAACAGCAGGCTGGAACTCCCTCCATCGCAGAGCTGTGAGTTACACCCTCCTCTGGGTCCAGTTTAAGGCACAGGAATAAGCAGGAAATGGAAGTTTGCCTTGGTACCACGCAGGCTGTGCTTTGGAAGACGAAGAGTTTCAATCCCTTGGCTCGGTGGGGCCACCAGACCAACACCTTACATCAGAATTAAGTCTATTCAATAAAAGAAGAAATCAGGGATGTGAAGAGGCCAATCCTCATTCTGCAGTTAACTGTGCCCACATTTCAACCCCGGGGCGAAGTAGCCTAACATTCTCAAATACGTACTTTAAACTGTTCATGATAATTACTGTTATCTACATGTCTCAGAACTACTTAAAATCCACTTCATTTGGAGCTGCCATTAATAATGCAGCAGGCAATACTACAAAGACTGGTGAAAATCAAGTTATTTAATGTAGCACTTTATAAACCAAACCAAACTTGTGATGAATCTCAGCTGCCTCTTCAGCTCCCCTGCAATCAATCTGTCTGCAGTCATGTTTATGTATCCTAGGGCCTGTGATAGACTGCCACTAGACTTGGCATCCACAACCACCTCAGGAGCTTGATTTAATGTGAATGCAGCATGAAAAATCAGATTATCTTTTGATTCTCTCCTTTATTAAATAAAACTGATCTTTATTGAATAAAGCTGCTTTTATTAATATCTAAAACATTGGTTGGTGTCACAGAGCCTGCCTGTCCTAGGAACTAATAAAAGAAAAGACAGAAGTAAAAAATGAGAACATTACAGGGAAATATTAGAAACCAAATCACATTAAGCCAGTATTGCAGCTGACAAATAAAACACGGGTCTAGCTGTGGAATTTTTTTGTTTAAGTCTGAATGTATTATTTTTACTGAAAGAAAAGGAATCAGAATGGGACTTTTCCCACAAATGCTCTGTGGCAAGAAACACAGCAAGGGTGAAAAAGTGGAAATTGTGTTCCCCTTCCCTTTTACAGTGTCTCAAACAACTTCAAGTTCAATGCAGCTGGGACAAAGCACAAAAACTTTGGGTTTAAGGAAACTTCTTGAGCTTAAAGGTGGAAAGATTCAATTTATTTTGGGGGTTTTATAGAAAACTTTTGGGGGTTTTGCCCATAGGCAGAGCTCACAGGAAAAGCTCCTAATGACCACACGTGCACTTTATGTTCATGTGAAAGCAGCAAGCACATTTTCCATCCAGACCAACTGCACAGCCGGAGCAAGAGATGCCAGGAATGGGTCTGTCCACAAGAAACACCAGCACTGTTACTTTGAGATGAAGAATGTGTCCCTCATCATCACAATCACTACCAGTCAACACGAACTGTAATTCAACCCTTAACTCTTGTCTAGCCACCACCAAGAAGGAGTGGAAAAAAATACATCTCATAAATTAAACAATCTTTGATTTTAATCCCATATACAGAATAATATCCCATTACTAATATACTACCACTTTTCCACAGAAATGAGCCAAAACTAGACATTTGGGGGTTTGGGTTCCTTGTTTTCCCACACTCACTTTGCTGTAACAGAAGATTTGCATCACTGCACATGCGCTCTGCACATCTCTAGCTATGGGGAACACCCTGAGGGGATACAAGGAAATCCTGCCTAATACACTTGCCAAGCCTCCATTTCAATAAAATTGAGAGAAAAAGAAAATCAAACCAGCAGCTCTGTGGGTTGAGATATCATTAGAGAGCAACTTGCAGGAAGCTTTCTGCCCAGGATGACACAGAAGAATACAAAATGCTCGGCAGAAGACAAGCAGAACAAGTCACTAAAATACTCACTTGGTTTTTGCTGTCTACTTAAACTTGAAATTTGAAATCAATGAAATCCAGTTTCATATGGAGACATTCATAATGAAAAAGGCTCCTCAATCTTTAGTTTCACAACATACATCCCGAAAGTGTTTGGCATCTTATGGGAGATGCTGTTTTTATTCTAGACTTAAGCCAGGCATGGAACCTGGAGCTCAAAAAAAATATGGAAGTTTCTATTGTACTCCAGTGGAGCTGATGAATTTCCATTTAAACAAGAGAACAAAACACCAACATTATTGTGCTATTACTGTATATAGTCTGTTTTCATTAGCATCAGCTGGACCTGGTTATTTTTTGACTGAAGATTTCTCAAGAACTTCTTCCCACCTTTGATAACAAACAGCAAAACGCTGAACTGACGGAGGGCCAGCATTGGCCTCCTAGGACTGACTGAGGAAAACTCTGCTGAAGACAAAGCTGTGAACTACAGTTACAGAGCATAATCTCCTCTGCCCTTACACATCCCTGTACTGTTAGGCTGACAGTGCATTAACACACGTGGATTATATCATCACTGACAAGCTGGCCTGGTAGGATCTTTAGCTCATTATTGAAAACAACATTTCATTTCTCAGGCTGGAGCTCTGCATTTTACAAGATAAAACAAAAGCAAAATCACAATAGTATTCTCAAGTCTTCAACATTATTACCTGAAAGATTCGGAAACTGTGCAGTACAAGGTGTGTTGCCATGGTTCTGAGTAATAAGCAGCAGCCCTATACACAGCAGACAGCTGATTGCTGTTGCATGTTAAAAGCTTTTGTATCTCTTTAGGAAAACTTTGTCATCATGTCATAAATGAGAGATTTTCTATTAGCAACAAAAAAGCATCAAAGAAACATGCCCTGTAGTAGTACTCATGCCTGATGTATTTTTTGTCTGTTCGTCTTACTCTGTGGAGGGGGTGGGAATCAACCTTTTACACTGTGAAGTTCATACTATAAATCTCTGGTCTTTCCAGTGTATTAAGGCATAGCAGTGCAGATGGAGTCTGTCACCAAAAAATAAACAATTGCATTAAAGACAGATATCTGCATCACTAAACAGTGGTGTCTTGGATATCCGACGTGCAAGATCAATAGCACAGCTAACACCAGTGGCTCTGGAATCTCCTGATCCCAGGTTTCATGGAATCACAGAATTCTTCAGGCTGGTAAGACCCCGACATCATCGAATGCCACTGCTAAGCCAGCACTGCCCTGTTCACCCCTGACCACGTCCCCAGGCACCACATCTACAGCCTCTTAAATCCTTCCAGGGATGGGGACTCCACCACTTCCCTGGGCGGCTGTGCCAGGGCTTGATAACCCCTTTGGTGAAGCAATTTTTCCTAATACATCTTTCAAAAGAGATGTGACATTTCAGAATGAAATCACATATGAATGCTATAATTGCTGAGTTGGCAGTAAATGAAATGCTGTATTCTGTAAAATTGAAATGCCATTTATTCCAGTCCTGAAATAAACTGCAATCTCAGTCCAACACTATGTTAATGCAGTGTTAGGGCAGCAAACTCAAACACAGCAAAAGCCAGGGAATGAAGTTCATACTCTTACTGCACTGTGAGCCTATCCAAAGTACTGATGACATTGCTTATAATAAAATACATCATTTACAACCTAGCTGGGCAATCACAAACTACTGGTGTGCAATGTGAATGAAGCAATCTCTTGAAAAGACTCTGAATTCTAATCCCTGCTGCTAATGCATTTCCAATTGCAACTTTAGAACAGGACTTGCATAGGCACTGCATTTAGGGAACATTTGAGCAGCCTTATAATTTTGTTCCTTTATTCTTTACCTGTTCTAAGGAAAAAAGGAGGAGAATGGAATTTGATACAGGGAGTGCCACAGAAATACATAACTATGTATTCTGCCTTCTGTCAATAAGTTCATTTGTGGATACAAACTAATTAGTAAAAATAACTCAGTTAATGAAAAAAGAAAAGTGCTGATGTCTGGAAGCGTAAAAGGGCGTTAAGAATAACCAATAAATTTTTTTAATAGGGATATTTATAAGCAGGGCTCTTCACCAGTATGTTTGCAGAATCACAGATTAAATGCATATGCTCTGATTCCCCTGCGAAGAATAAACCATGTGAAAACTTTGTTTTCCTGCCAAAATGTAAGTGCTGATGCACAGTATCTGCTCGGTAGAAATGTATACTTCTCCTAATTTATATGTCACAGGAATGCTCAGAATCATCTAAATTAAGTATTGCAAAAGTGCATTCACCTTTTGGCTGAGGCCATCGATGGAAACTTTTAAGTTCCGAGGAAGCTTCAAATGCACACAAAAATATGTGCAGTGCCTGTGTGCTGGTTTTCTGACTGGAACTGTAAACAAGCTCGAGGGCTCCAAGAAGGAATCACTGAGTTGTGTGAAGTCATGCCATCAGGACATTCCAACTCTATTCAGCATGCAGGATATCAGACACCTGCTACAGCATCTCATCAAAGCTTTTAAATGTTTCACTAAGTACCTGTTTCTTTGGTCCAATAAAACACTGCCAGTCAGTCTGAGATACAGGAATTTTAATCTGAAAAACGGCACAGAAGATAACGGTGGGGCAGCCAACTCCAACAGCTTGTACCTCTGTAGATTTCAGATCTCCATAACAGAAACCCTTCATAATCCAAAGCAGAGCAACCAGCTAAGCTCAGCAGCAGCATCTTCTACGCCACCAAAAGTACAGAAAGGAGGTAACAGATGCCTCGGGAAACTGCCAGACTGTTTGTAATGGTCAACCAAGGAAAGATCCTTTTCCCCTCAGGTTTTCCCATCTCATCCTCTGTGTTTTTGACTAACGCATGGCTTCCCCCAAGTCTTTCCGTCTTGAACTGTATAGCACTCAAGGCATTACAGAGAGAGAGGTGAAGGGCTGGCTGTGCAAAATAAGAAACAAGATGCAGTGAAACAGAAGCGATTAAGACTTACCTTTGGAAAAAACTGCTGCCAGGCTCAAGAGGAGAGGCGACAACAGATGCCCCATATTGCTAATCCAGGAAGCACACATCCTACGGTTTGCGGAGCACTTAGGGATCAGTTTCACACACTTGGTAGTCAAAATCAAAACCGGTCAGCTGGAGAAGCTACATTTTCAGAAAAGGTCATCTGGCAAGCGCAAAAAGCATTTCCTTCGCAGAGAAGACTTACTTCTTTAGCGTTAACCCTCCCCCTTCCTCCCTCTTTCTTCAAAACAGATGATGCTGTGACAAAACACCCCTCTCCTCGCAGTAAATAAAAAGGAGTCAGTTTGGACTCAGACGTCGGCGCGGAGCCGCAGCCGCCCAAGGCGGGCGAGCAGCGCCGTGCCCGGCAGCCCCGTGTCCGTGCCGGGCGCTGGGCAGGGCCGGTCGGGGCAGCGCTGCCCTCCCGCCCGCCGCGGGATGCGCTTCACACGGCCAGCGCCCGCATCGCGGGGAGCAGCGCGGCGGCTCCCCGGGCGGCACCAAAGTTTTCCTTTAGGCGATGTTCATCAGCCCGGGAATCATCCACACACGCAGGGCTTGGTGCTGCGCGCTCTTTTTTCTTTCGTTCAAGTTCTCGATTTCCTCATTGACCTGTCTGACTTTGTGCACGAGAGGGAGATCACAGGGAGAAGGTGACGGCCGGCGAGGCGCTCAGGGCTGCCGGGGCCGGCGGCGGCGGCCGGCGCGCACCTCCCGCCCCCGCGGCCCGGCCCGCCCGCCCGCGCCGGCCCCGCCGCATCCCGCGGGCTGCTGGGGGTACCGAGCTGAGCCGCCGCCGCCGCCGAGAACAACAACACGGCACGGCCAAACAAATAAATAAATAACGCCGACCCAAGCCCCGCCTCACCCCCGGCGGCCTGGCAGCCCCAATCCCCGGGCAGCGGGGCGCGGAGCGGGGCGGAGCGGGGCGGGCCGGAGATGCGCGGACCGGCGCCGCTGCCCGGCCGCTGCCCGGCCTCTGCACGGCTCCTGCCCGGCTCCTGCCCGGCCCCTGCACGGTTCCTGCCCAGTCCCTGCCCACGTCCTGCCCGGCCTCTGCCCGGCCTCCGCTGCCCAGCTCCTCCCGGGCGCGGCGGGAGGTGGCAGCGGCGCCGATCCCCGGCTCATCCTCGGAGGGCAGGGCACAAGGCAGGGCACAGGGCCGGGCACAGGGCCGGGCACAGGGCAGGCAGAGGCAGCTCCGGGAGCACGGACAGGCAGAGCATCCCCAGCCGCTTCGGCAGCATCCCCGTGCCCGCCCGGACGGACGCGCACCCAGACACCGCATCCCTGCGGCTGCCAGGAGCGACGCGCTGGCATGAGCGTGCTGCTGCACGTGGCGAGGCTTTGGCTCCTTCCCTCGTCTCAATTTGCCGTGTTTTCAGCTCTCCCCAAGCTACTGCAACAGTCGTGAGCCAAATCAAGTGCGGTGCAGGCGGAATAGGGAAATAATGTGAGGGGTGTGTAATGGAATACTTCGTATATGTTGCAAAACCAGCAGCAAAAATACCGACTTTTGGTCTAAAATAGTCTCCAAAAGTGCTGGGGGCAAATAACTGACCTCAGGTTTTCCGTTACGGAAGGTTTCAATACTAACCCAAACATTTGGTCAAGCTTAATAATGAAATTTATATTACCCTTGGCAGATAGAATTGCAGCAAAATACAATTTACCGCAGCCAAAACAAAACAAAACAAGAAGTAGCTACAAGAATTTATAGTCATTTTCTTCCTTCTTGGAGTACATGTTTGGGAGCAATAAAAACATTTGTCTGTATATCAACATCCACAACACTGAAGCTGTAAATAGTCTATCAAAATAAACTTTGCACACTTTCTGTTTGCCAACACTGAGAAGTACATGATTACCCATGCAGTGAGAAAAGGCTGCATTTTGTGTGGTAGTGTGAATTCATTTTAGAAGTTCATGTCAGCTTTGGAAGGATTCCCAGCTCCTGAGAGGCTCCCCAGAGCTGAAATGAAGCACATGTCTAGAACTGGCATTGCACTGCAAACAGAAATGTACCAGCTCAGAACATCCCCCACCTGACAGAGGATAGATAACTGCTATTGACAGATGTTGTGGCCAAACCTTGCAGTGTTGTACAACACAGGAGAATTATTATTAAACAACGCTCTATCCCAGATACAGCAGTCATGCTCTGGAGGAGGAAGTCAGTGTCCAGCTTCATTCAGTGGCAGGGTGGAATGTGCCAGGATAACATTGCAGTTAATCTGTGTTCTGGTGAAGAAGCTTTAAAAAGAAGCCTCTGCAAAGTATGAAAAGTGCAAAGGAAGAGCTTTCTCTCCAGATACAGGTGTGGGCAGTTTAGTCACCAAAGTAATTTAAGAAAAAAAGATACTGGAATAATAAGAAAACCAAACCAAGATTCTCTTCTCTTCTACAGTTTTTGCCTCTATGCTTTTACATTCAGTTATTTTGTGCACAGTCTTTAAGGCCTTGCAGTCATTTAGGGTAACTAGAATGAAAGAAGGGCAGAAGTTGTTATAGAAATGCAGAGTGAGAGAGAGTTTTAATGCCAGCCATATTATGTTTGCAAAATTAGCTTCTTTCCCTTCTCTTCATATTTTGCAACATCGTTGTTGAAACAACAGACTTGAAAGCACTTCATTTTTCAGCCCAAATATGGAAACTATGGAACCTAGGATCCTTCATCTAGGATGCTGCTACTCACTGAACAGATTAATTTTTTAATTTGATCTTGTGAGAGGGAAAAAAATTAATCTAAGCTATTACTTTTTCCTTAAGGTTTTTTAAAGTGATTCTGAAAGGTCACTAACTAATTATTAAATTTTATGCATCAATACTCTTCTCCTCCAGAGCATTCCACAGACATTTTACTTTTAGTAGGTAGTAATGGACACTTAATATTTCATCAACATCCTCCTCATTTTCTTCCACTATCCTGTTATCCCCACAAACCAGATTTGGGTCTCGAGTCCCTCCCAAAGCCAAGTGACTTTGAATAAACTGTTGTCTTCAGTCCCTTCAGAGATAAGCAAGTGCACCCATTTCTTGCCCTGCCCAGAAATAATCTCACTTTTGGTTTAGTGGGCATTTTGCTGAAGTACCAGCTGAAGGTCAGGCCACTCAAATTTCCCCCTGCAGAGTGGGTGTCCCAGTTCCAGTTTGTACCCACGAGTGCAGATGGCAGCACATCAGCTGTGCAAACTCTGTCCTGGCCAACGCTTCTGGGATGAAAACCTTTCCTGTGCACTGCTCATGGAAATCACAGCAATTCATACAGCTCATAATGAGAAAACATCTTCCTGTTTCATTAGCAATATGTTATTTTGGCAAGAATGCCATCTTTTCTGGGTGATTAACACAACTAATTGTGAAGGAAGAACTGGCATTAGGAAAACGTGAGAGAGTGGGGAGACTTGAAAACCCACAACCTAATGGAAAAGGTAGAAAACTGATTAATCCACACCCAACAAGGTAATGAAAAGATCCATCCACACCCTGAGACTTCTTGGTTCATCTGCAGTGTGATACATTAACTTTATGTCATTAAAATTGTTAATTGTTCTGATCAGTTTATCAATTCCCATTTTTGCTTGAGGTTGGTTTTTTTCAAGCAGCAATCTCCCCTCTTTGACAGGCTAAAAGCACAGGTCTGGGGGAAGCCCCACTGATAAGGCAAAGAGCTGCACAAGGGAAAACTGGAGCCAGGTACATGAGCAAAAATGTTCCTCTGCCCAGTATTTCACATCTAGATAGACAGATAGATATAGATGCAGATATCTTAATAAATAAATCTATAGAGATAGATAAAAAGACATGGAAATGCAGAATATGCCTAGTGATCTGAAAGCAAACAATTCATTCCAAAAGCCAGCTACATTTAAAAATTGTCTCTCAGACCTGGAAGAACTGGGCATGTTATTGAGTCTTTTAACCTGAGCAGTTAGACATTTTTCTCCAAAAATATTTTTCACTTTCAATTAAACTCTGAGGGAAAAATCCTGGGCATTTAAAAATTGTCTCTCAGTGCCCACAGACCTGGAAGAACTGGGCATGTTATTGAGTCTTTTAACCTGAGCAGTTAGACATTTTTCTCCAAAAATATTTTTCACTTTCAATTAAACTCTGAGGGAAAAATCCTGGTGCTGCTGAAGTCAGTGCATGCCTTGCCATTGATTTTTACTGAAAGATTTTTACTCCTATTTTTTTTTTCTCCATTGCTTGGGATTGCACAAAGGGCATTGAAATGGATTATCTGGGTTTGCAACTGCACAACATTCAAAGAGAGGAGCAATTAGAGTCAGAGATTCAGAAGATGAAAAGGCATCAGCATGATCAGCTTGACCTCCCAGCAATTTTATACAATTTCATGTGTTGTCTCCAAAACACTGAGCAGCGATGAGGCAGCAGGTGTACTGTGACTGCCAGTTAGAATGCACAGTGGAAGTTGTTCCATTACTATTTCATGTTTCTCTCTCTTATTTCCTCGCCACATCTAGCTGTGGTCTGCTCTCTCTTTGTGTAATGCAGAGTTTTTGGGGAAGGGCTTTCCTTTGGGTTCTTGTGTACCCCACATCTTGGCCAGCTGTGCCACAGCCACAGTCTCTTTGTGATGCTCCCACAGAAATGCTCTAAAAGTCAGAACAGCTTAATGGGAGATGCCACAAAGACCACACTGAGTCATACACTTCAGTTGCCTCTTAATTTCTGCATCTTATGCTTTTTTGACATTAAGCAGCACCTAGATTTTTGTTTCAGTGACAGCAGGATGAAGCATTAAATCTTTGTTAATTTGACTAAAACTAATTCTCATCTGTTCAAACCACACAGGGAAATAAAAAATTAAATCACTTGATTTCCTTATAATGCCTCTGTTTTATGAGAAAAGCAGAGTCACTGAAAAATCTTGGCCAGGCTGAAAGCAAGATCTGTTTGACAGCTTGTATTTCTGCTGGCTGTGGCAATGCCCCTTGAGTGCCATCTCCTTAATGATCAAACACCAGCCTCAGTGGGGATCAGCATTCCTGCAGCTCTGCTCCTGCAGCAGCTCTGTGCTGGCCTTGCTGTCAGTTCACAA